GGTCCCAAATGGATTTGGAGTGACATTTTGCTCCAACTGGAAGACCCAGGAACCTGAAAGGGAGTTTTCCCACTTTACACCCAAGCTCCGCAGCAAGATCCTGGATGTTATTGACCTCCCCAACTAGGATAATTTCACTTTTCTGAAAATTCACCCGTAATCCAGAGATCACCTCGAACCAAACCAGAATCATCCAAAGATTACTTAACTGCTCCTTTTCTGCCTGAACAAAGAATAACTGTAGTAAAGGGACCACGGTTCCTTCCTCTGCCACTCTAAAACCTTCCACACAGCCTTCAGCCGCAGCTCTTTTAGCTAATCTAACTAAAGTCTCCACCACACAGAAAAACAGCAAGGGAGAGAGGGGGTCTCCCTGTCGACGACCCCTCGAACTTCTAAAGAAACCAGAAGATGACCCATTCACAAGTACAGAAAACTTAGCAGTCACACTCTGACCCAATTCCTCCATTTCTGGCCAAAGTACATTTTCTGCAACACCAAGTCAAGAAACCTCCAGTTTACATGATCGTAAGCCTTCTCTAAGTCAATTTTGCATACCACCCCATTGCTGCCACTCCTTAACTTCGAGTCTACCAGCTCATTAGCAATAAGAACACCCTCYAGTAATAGTYRACTGGGCAAGAAAGCCCCCTGCACCTCTGAAATGATCTCAGGAAAACCTCCTACCAAACTTATGGGTCTGTAATCAGAGATACGCATCAGATTCTGAACCTTTGGAATCAAAGTTATAAACGTAGCATTTAAGCTACGCTCTAAGGATGCTCTTTTGTGGAAATCCAACATAGCCTTCATCACCTCTGGCTTTATGAAACTCCAACATTTCTTGAAGAACAGCATTGTGAACCCATCGTGTCCAGGGGTCTTCTCTCCCTCTAGACTTTTAATAACCCCCCAAACTTCCTGTTCTGAGAAAGGTTTCTCTAAGTCTTCTCTTTGATTGTTGGAGAGGGCTTCAAATAGGCTAACATTCAGATGTMCCAGCCACACCTCCTTATACAGGTTCTTGAAGAATTTCACCACCTCCCTTTTAATAGAAGATTCCTCCTCAATAATCCTGTCTCCCACCTGCAGCTTCTTCAAAGTATTCTCCCTTCTTCGACAATTAGCCACTGCATGGAAATACTTTGTATTTCTGTCTCCCACCTTCAGCCAAGAGATTTTATTTGTCTCCATTTAATCTCTTCCTGATACGCTACTTTGTCAAAACACAATTTTGCCTCAGTCCTAGCTGCCTTCTCTTCTTCAGATAGGTTCACCAGCTCTTCTTTCCTATCCAGATCTTCAATGGTGTTTAACAACTCTCCTTTTCTTAGTTCTACTGCCTTAAAATTGTTTTTCTTCCAGTCTAGGATTTTCTCTTTCAACATCTGTAGCTTCTTTGCAAGAATATGAGATCCTGAGCCTTCTACCCCAAAAGATCACCACCACTCCTTCAACTTCTCTTCAACCCCAACCTCCTTAAACCACAAGTGTTCAAACCGAAAAGGACCTGGTTTCCTCCTCAGGCCCTCCCCCCTAAGAAGAATGGGCCTATGATCAGACACAGATCTTGGTAGGGCTTCCTGAAACAAGAATAGGGGAGGGTAGAATTTTGGAGCTAGCCCTCAGCATCCTTGTTGAGAAGTGCTTTTATATCTTCTTATTTTCTGTTTTTACATCTCTATTCAAAAATATGGGGCAAGAAAACATTGTTGACAATCTTAAACACATCGGATGCGCATAACTGCATACAAAACCACCTTCTGCACCAGTAAGATAAAGTTATTTAACACAAACCAAGGGTTCTAAAAGAGCTAGAGAAGGTCCATAAGGACATAGGTTTAACCAGTGTTTACAACCCACCGTTGACCCAGCCGGTCGAACCGTTTGAACCGCCACCCAGCCAGGATTCAGGGTCCAGCTCAGTCAAAACCCACCAAACAATCAAGAACCGTTTGACCCGGCTGGTTCAACCGTTGACCTGTTCGACCCTGTGAATGGGTCGGGGGTTGCACACTCGATGCATTCAAACTTTCAGAGGCCATAACTTTGCACTCCGATGTCCGATTGAAGTGATTTTTTTTATTTTGGGTAACTTTTCAAGATCTATGTGTCCCAAGGCACCTTGCCCTGTTATTTTCGTGAAAAAACCCCTTTTCTGGCCTCAAATTGCAATTTTTAATTTTTTATTTATAAAAAATTAAAAACTGAATTAGAAAAGCATAAATTAAATATAAAAATACATATAACATACTTATGTATTATTTATTGATAATAAATATATATATATATATATATATATATTTATACACATATATATACTCTAAATTACAAGTGGGACAGTTTGACCCATTTGATAGCGATGCAAGCGGATCGGATCGGGTTCAAATCCAATCCAAAGATCCGATCGGATCTTATAGGACTCAATTTGATTTTGAAACCTATTGATGATAAGTCAGATCTTCGGATCTGATCCGATCCGAATTGTTTTCTTTAAAAATTAATAAATTATTAAAAGAAAAATAAAATATACTAATTTAAATAAAGTAAAAACAAAAAATACAAGTATTTTTTAATTATTTTCATCATATATATACATTTTTTTATAAAAATAAATAAATAATATAAAAAATTTATAAAAATATATTTATAAATAAATAAATAACATATATATATATGTATGATATATATTTATATTTATAAATATATAATATATATCGAATCAGATAGGGGTGATCCAAATCCGATCCGATTTCTGATTGAATCCTATTATCTGATCCAATCTGAAGATTCGAACAGGGGTGATCCAAATTCAACCAAATATGATCAGATCTCGGATCGGATCGGATCAGGATCGGATCCATTTGCACCCCTACCGTTCAACCCGGACAATCGAACCTGTGACCTACGACCTAGAGGCAAAAACGGTTCGGCCTCTGTTTAAATAGTAATCCATGGCATCTTGCATAGACTTCCTCAAGGTTGAGGCTGAAAAAAGAGATTGAGACATTGATTTTGACCTGAAGTTTCTGAACCATGATCATGGTAGAGTTTAGATCCCATGGATTACTCACTTAACATTGAAAACTGCAAGATAACACCAGAAAGGAGGAAGAATCATGTTAACCATTATGCATGGCCAATGGATGCAACTTTAATGACCACACACACTGGACTGATAGAAGAAAAACCAGAAATTTTTCTAAGTTTCATCAAGATCAATTAGCAAATCATAGAGAAAAGGTGAGAACCTATGTTATCCAGCTAGGGCTGGATATGGCATCGGGTATGAAATTTACACTAAGAATTGATGCACCCAACATAGAACAGCACCCTTGTACAGGTATCCAAGTATCATAGGTGAGAATGATCAACATTTCAGATTCACAAAAATATTGTTTCTACATGAATACATGTTAGATAGAAAACAAACCTTGGATTAGGATTTCCTTTCACCACTTTCTGTCCATATTTGCGCCAACGATATCCATCATCCAATATATCAACCTCACTTAGAGTTTGAACTACAACACGTGGTTCCCGTGTTGGTTTAGCCATTGGAGTAACATCTACACAACCAATGTCCTTCTTCCTGATTAAAACATTTTGACATTTCAATGAAGGTTAGCACATGCAGTCATGGATGCACTGTCTTATGGAAAATACAAAAAGCCCCTATATCAAAGTTAAGGCACCTTCGCTTTGACTCAGGATCCTCATCATCATCAAAATCATCCCCAACCCTGTTAGAATATCCAACTGCACCTTCTACGTCATCATCACTCACTGTGACAGGAGAGAGCTCAGGGGTACCATTTGGCTCAATATGATGAGTTGTCTGGCCACGTGGATTGGACGACTTATCTTCAATCATGACCATGTCAATATGGGAAGAAATATCAAGCACTACATTAACAAAAATGTATTAGAACAACAAAAAATCAGTGAAGATTTTCTGTTACCTTCTGAGCTGGTTAAGGAAGAAAATATATCAGATTTTTCTCCTTGGATGGACAAAATTGTACCAGATGCTGATCGGCGGCTAGATTGAGGTTTAGGATGATAATGGCTACCTTTATATATGATCTCCGTAATTTGCCTGTCATGAGAGCGTTCCACTTGCTTTTTCACTAGGCAATTAGGATGTGTACATTTGTAATAGCTTCGTGGAAACTCACTTCCTTTCACATGTTTCTGCCCATATTTTCGCCAGTTATATCCGTCCTCTGCTGTTTTCTCAGCTACAACAGGAGGATTATTTCCTTTATGATCATTATGAAATACCTGGAACCCACTATCAGAGCCTTGTTTGTGCTGCAATTCATCAGAAGCAGTTTGAACCCCTGAAGTAGCCAATTGACCTGGTGGGTTTGGTACAGTTACAGATAGTGTCAATTCATGTGAGGAGACAGCTGAGTTCTCGCTTTTAGCCGAGGATAAGGCTGCAAATGAGTGAGACTGATATTGACCCTGGACTTGCACAAGTGGCTCACGTTGCTGGTACTTCAGACCTGCAGAAGCCTTGAAAGAAAAATCAGAGTTAGGTTGTATACACATACAAACTTGAATAAATAAGCAAATGCTTCTAGGGGGACCAAAAGAAAAGGGTAAAGTAGAACACTAAGTCCAATAGGAAGGCTTATTTCCACATTGTTGTATCCTTGTGCAGTTCAACTGGAAATAACTTTATGGTGGAAGTAAGGTTATCAACTTTTGCCACATATATAGCTAAAGACATACTATATAAATAATACCTTTTTATTAAGGATAATTTTTTTTAAAATGAGACAGAATACAAAGATAAAAGAAACTACAAATGACAAGTCTAAAGATAAAAAGAACTATAATAAACAAAATCATCCTAGAAATGGAAACCAGGGCCCACTACTAGCGATGGTAAGATCAGTTCAGAGTGAAAGGAATATAAGAATATACCAGATAACCCATGGCCTAAAAGGCTAACCCAGTACAGTTGGGGGCTCAAACAGCTCATTCCTGGCACCTCCTCTAGGAACAATTGTTGAATAATAAAATCAAAATAAATATAAATGACCTCACCACAAAAAAATAATAAGTCCACCTCATTGCTTGCAGCATTGATTTGACAATTGATATCAGATTGTCTCCATAAGAGGGCAGTGCTGGTGCCTATCAATTAAGGGAACAAATGTTCCATAATTATTTAAATTACAGTTACTCAAGCTAAAATTGTTTACAAATTAAGCTTGTTCCTGACCACTGTGCTCCTTTTGTAAAAGTGGAATGAGAAGAAAGGACTCCAAGCATTTTATCATCACCAACATCTCATAGCTTCTATCTGGAGTTGTCTATGATTCCTGTCCACTGAGTTTACTCTATCTTAGACCATAAAAAACTGTCTAAAGCCTTTAGAAATCAAGCCAAGGCAGTTGGGGCTTTTCCTCACCCATTTCAGGTATTTCAGTTTGCATCGAGTCACTATCTAATTGGTATTATTGTTGGTTTTTGTTGCCCATGACTAAACCATCTAATAGAAGATTCCTGCCAATCAATTTTGGGAAAAGAAAGTGGGGGCTTAAAGATCACAACCCTCTGACCACAGAGAAAATAACAGTAAAGCAAGTATATTCTCCTATGATATTGTCCTAAGAGGCAAGATTATCACCAGCTTGGTTAGTTTGGCACCATGTAGAAATGAACTTGCAACTTCAACCTTGGTAGATCTCTAATGCCAATTAAATTTGGAAGTAAATGCATCTTATTTGATCCTCAAAGATGTCTATTTATACCCACTGGAACATGATTGCCATGTTTGACTCCATTCCCAAATTCTCTTTACCAAATCCTCATTCTAAGCCATTATTTCTGGCCTCCAACAGGCATTGCATTCTTATTAATAGAAGTTATGATTCCCAAGTACAACCTAGGTTTGTTGTTTTGAGACGTGCGATAAGACAAACACATAAACCTGCTTTTCTTACTTTTCGAAACAAACCTGTGTATGTTTTAAGCAACTAAGAATCAGCTAATGACCTCCAGTGTTGTTGCAAGATGAACAGGAAGAGATGCCATTTCTTTTTGGGTCTTCTAGCCCTTGAAAGGTTTCCAAAGATGGGCCATAAAAATATTGAAATAATGGATGGGAGTGTAACAAAACTTGTCAGCTAGTGCTATTATCCTCATTCTAAAATTTGAACCCATATTCTCGAACTTGCCAGCTACTGTTATCTACTCATCTCCTCTTGTGTTCTGAACTATGCCTCACACCTCTAGGTAGTGGAATGCCTCACATGATGCATCAACATTTTAAAACATTGAATGGAACAACCTTCTTACAAATGACTAGATATCATAAAGGACTACCAGACCATCAATCACATAAAACTCAGTTAAACAGGACTACTGTGTCAAAGTCATAAAGATCTATCTACTCAAGGCCTACTAGATGCTGGACTAGTCTCTTAGCACAGAGTAATCTCTCAATGTTATTAAAATCATTGGAGGGAACTATTTAGCTAGAATATATTCTTAGTGGAGGAGGCAAACTTATTAGGATCATTGGTTAAGGATGATAATTTTTGCAGTCCTTGTATACTGGAGACTTTATCTGATTTGTCCAAATTTGCTGGTTACTGAAATTCTCCAATTAACTTCTTCAAGGTATAAAGTTTGTTGGGGCAATTATTGACATAATCACTACAAGGGTAACACAATGGGTAAAATCTTTGAAGTTATTTGAAGATGTTTCTACAAAAGCCCTGCTAAACAATTGGAAGGAAGTGGCTTGTTCAGCTCCTATAAGGAATGTTCCTCATCCATTGTGGTCTCTTCTGGATCCTGGCTTTACAAAGCTGAATTTTGATGGCAGCAGTGAAGGAAATCCTGGCCCTTCAAGCATTGGAGGGCTCTTTACGAATGAGGAGGGTGAGATTATTGCTATGTTTTCAGGCCCAATTACGGAAGGAGATTCTCTCAGAGCTGCAGTTATGGCTGTGTTGGAAAGTGTCAGAAGGGCTAAGGAACTCAACATTAACAGCCCGATTATTGAAGGTGACACTAAATTGGTAATAGATCTGTTGAAAAAGGATGAGAGTAGCATGTGGAACAGTGATTTAAAAGGCACGCCTAGGCGCACAGGCAAGGTGCATTTTAGGGTAGGTGCCTCGCCTAGGTCCTAGGCGCAACACTTTCAAAAGGCACATGCCCGATGTGCCTTGCGCCATGGCCCAGGTGTGCGCCTTTTGAAAATTGTATGCTTCTTTTTCTTTTTCTGAACCTAACGGATGGGCCGGGGAATACGCCCCTCGATTGGCATAAAGGCAACTGGTACAATCAAGAATGTAATATGTTTTACATTACATTAGCTACTTGAAGTTAGGGGTGAGCATTCGGTTTATTTGGATAAAAACCGAACCAAATAAACCAATTTTTAAAAACCGAACCGAAACCAAATTATTAAAAAACTGAAGAAAAACAAAACCGAATTTTTTGGTTCGGTTTTTGGTTATTTCGGTTAAAACTGAATTTTATTAATATTACACTAATACATATTATATTATATATATTAATATATTAATATATTAATATATTTATGTATATTATAGTATATGTATATGTTAATGTATTTTATATATTTAATATTATATATAATATATATTATATTATGTATATAATAAATTTCTGTTAATTCGGTTTTTTTAGTTAACCAAATTTCCAATCCTGAAAACCAAAACCAAAACCGAAATTTTTTAAAACCAAACCAAAAAACTAAAAACCGCAAAAACAGAACCAAACAAACCAAAACCGAAAATTTCGGTTTTAACTGAACAATATGCTCACCCCTACTTGAAGTAATGCAATTGAGGAAAAAAAAGAGATTGTGGGCTTTACATGCTGGAAAATGTTTTATATGTTTGATTTTATTTTTAAATTTTCATTTGAATATGCTTTACATGTTATGTTTATGTATATTAATTTTAGATTATAGGTTTTTTAAACAATTAATTTTAAAATTTAAGTTTATATTTCTTATTAATATTATGTTTAATATTTTTTCATTTTTTTGAATTTCCTGACTTTTTTATTTTTTAGCAATTTTTTTGTATTTTTGCACCTTGCTTCAAAAAGGCGCATACCTCGCCTTGCACCTTGCACCTCAAGCACAAATTGGCCCTTGCTCTTTTGAAACACTGATGTGGAGTTACTTAAATGAAAAGAGAATCTTTAAGTGGTTGACTTGGGATATGATAGTGAGATTGCAATGGGTCAAGAGGTGTGATAATTCTTTTGCAGATGCACTGGCCAAACAAGGGGTGGGAAGAAATCATTTGTTTTGGGCTTATCTGTAATTTTTTAGCTTATTGGGGGAGTTAAGAAAGTTTATCTCCCCCCTGCCTTTGTACCTACCTCTTTTTTTTCTTTAATGAAATGATTCTGTTACTCGTAAAAAAAAAATAGTTGTTACTAATAAAATTCAGATAAGGTGTCTATATGATTTCAAATAAGAAGAAGGAGAAGAAGAAGAAGGAAGAGAGGAAGAATAGTCTTAGCCGAACTAGAGAGAAAAACCATCTCTAGTCGGCCACTCTTTTATTTATACTTTTCTAAAATAGACAAGAATTACTATTCTGCCCTCACTTAAGTGAGAGCCACATCAGCTAAACAACTAATATATAACTTAATATAAAATGTCTATACTACCCTTCTACAGTCGACTCTTAACACTCCCCCTCAAGCTGATGAGTATATGTCATATAGTCCCAGCTTGTTACATATGTAGTCCACTCTTCCTCGATTCAACCCTTTGGTAAGCAGATCTGTCCATTGGTTTCCTATGTTCACATATGTTGTACTTATCACTCCACTAAGCACCTTCTCACATACAAAGTGGCAATCAACTTCTATATGCTTCGTCCTTTCATGAAACACTGGATTAGAGGAGATATAAACTGTAGCTTGATTATCACAAATTCACAACATAGCTTCATAGGAGTGTCAACCGAGTATCCCATCTCCTCTACGAGATGCTTCAACCACACTAGTTCACATGTTATGTGTGCCATGGCCCTATATTTAGCCTCTGCACTACTTCCTGCTACCACTGTCTGCTTCTTACTTTTCCATGTCACTAAGTTCCCACCAAGAAAAGTGAAATACCCTGTAGTGGACCTTCTATCAAATATGGAACCGGCCCAATCAGCATCCGTGTATCCCTCTATCTCAAGACTTCCTCCACTCTTATATAACAAACCACAACCTAGAGCTCCCTTCAAATACTGTACAATCCTTAGGACCGCCTCCCAATGTGGAATTCGAGGATTCTGCATAAACTAACTCACTATACTGACCGCAAATGAGATATCAGGTCGAGTGATGGTTAGGTAATTAAGCTTACCCACCAACCTTCTGTACCTTCCCGGATCCTCAAACTCCTCACCTGCATCACTACTCAACTTAACATTTGGTTCCATGGGTGTTTCAGCTGGTTTGGCACCTAACAACCTTGTTTCTTCTAACAGATCAAGAACATATTTCCTCTAGCA